ACTTTTAACCTTGGCCATATCTTTTGAACAGTTAGCACTAGGGTTTTCAAATTTCACAGGTATATTCCTTGTGACAAGACCTTTCTTTGGATACCAACAATGTTGACCTTTTGACCTTGACCTTGGAATTTGACCTACTTTTGAAAAACTTTATCCTTTTCCATTACTTTTAAACTGTTGGTGCTAGGGCTTTTATATATTGCATGTCTATTTCTTATGACAATGTCTTCTGCGTACCATTAATTCTGACCTTGACCTTAGAGTTTGACCCATTAGAAAACAAGATTTTTGAACCTTGACGATAACTTTTGAACGGTTGGTGCTTGGGCTTTCATATTTACAGGTATATCCATTGACACAAGTCCTTTGTTTGGGTAACAACACTTTTGATCTCTTGACCTTGGAGTCTGACTTGCATTTGAGAAACTTTAACCTTAGCTTTTTATTGATTGATTTGTTCATTAATTTATTTTTCATTTATTTAATCATTTATTTGGCAGAAGGCCAACATGTAGAAATTGCAATGTATTGAACCTTGCCAAAGATAATAATTTAAAATATTAGCCAAGATGTAAATTGAAAGCCCCAAATCAAAACATAAAAAATGGATTTATCTTCAAAGAAAGAGAGAGAGAATTTGCATTTTTATGATCAATAGAGCCCTACCCTAACATCAGAACCTCTGACTCAGGGGCTATGAATTTAATAATTTTGGAAGTGGCACTCTTTTTTATCATAATAATGCATTTAGTTTGTCAGTTACAATGTAAATATACTGGGGAGAGAAGAGGATTTTTAAATAATCTATGCATTTTTACTATATGACCAAAATACCTAACCCAAGGACTATGAATTTCACAATTTTGGAAGTGGTCCCCCTGATAATTATAATTACGTATTTTGTTTGTCGGCAAGAGAAGACAATTTTAAAAGATTTTTACACGACCAATAGAACCCCACCCTTATACCAGAATTTCAGAATCCGGTGGCTAAGAATTGCACATTATTTGAATTTAAGCACCCTTCTCTAATTATAACTATATGCACCAAGTAATCTTTAAATAATCTATGTATTTTCACTGTATGACCAAAATACCTAACCCAAGGATTATGAATTTCACAATTTTGGAAGCTAGTGCCTCCCCCCTCCCTGCTAATTATAACTAATCATGTACATATGTATTTTGTTTGTCGGTGAGAGAAGACAATTTTTAAAGAATTCATGCATTTTATCCCTACACAAACCAATAGAGCCCCACCCTAATACTAGAATGAGGCAGCTAAGAATTGCACAATTTTTAAAGAAGCATAAC